AATCTAATTGAGCACTGGAATCCTAGAGCAGTGTAGCCTTTGAAATGTGTAAAACTCGACAACTTCAGACATTCGGGTTCCTAAGACTGGAATTTTCGGAACAAACTCTTACATATTCCCATGCAGAAATGGACTTTTTGAGACTGTGATGATAGTCTGTTTGCAATTATGAAGCCTGCCTCCCAGCTTTAACTTCCATAGGATGGAGCTTTTATGCTAGCCATTGTGACTTTCAAATGGCATTTGAACAAAAGAATATCTAATGTGGCAAAGCTCTTATTTGTACTAAAATTGTGTACACAAATCATTTTACGTATTTTGAAAGCTCTACAGATAAAGAAGGAAATGTAATTAGTCAACTCAAATCTGATGCTGAAATTTCAGAACTTAAAAAGATTTCTTTAGATGGGTGAATATTGTTGACTTTATTAAACGCTTGAGACTAGCATTGTATTTACCAATCATGAGAGTTGTCTTTGAATACATCCAACTGAAAATTACAGTAAAGGTAATAGGAACTAGACTGAAATGTTAATCATATTGCACTTGAAAATTCACGCTCATCTCTGAATATGTATTGTTTGCGTTCTGCTGTTTTCTTGGATGTTCCAGCTTGAGTCAGTAACATGAAGAAGTCTTGTTGTCTTGACTACTTTAAAAAAAAAAAAACCTCTTCCCATGTCAAGTGCCCCGTTATGCCATTTGTGAAAAATAGTTATATTGCATTAGAGGTCTTTATTCATCATGCCGGAGAGGAAGAAAAGAGAATGGTGTGCTTTAAATGTATTGTTAGATTTGGCTTGTAGTTGTAATGTAGATTTGAAGTGTCAGAGTCTTATTAATAACTTATGCGGTTTGCTCTTGTCAGTTTTGATATGTACCCCTGTGAGTAATGGGTGTGGAGATGGTGGGCCATAAATTAATTTAAGTGATGGGAGGTTTGAGTAAGTTGCTAGGAAACAGGGCAGCAGACCAGCATAAAGCAACTAGAGTGCATCAGAAAGCTGCCCCTGCAGTAGCTAGCAATTCTTCAGTAAATTGAAACAATGATGATGATGATGATTAAAAAAAATACAGGTAGTCTTGCTTCTTGCATTCATTTTGAGAGTAGTGACTTTCTTGACAGGCAAACTTGGCTTATGAGGCCATATAGAAAAGTATGGAACAAAAGAATTTCCATGTTCCGCTTGTCAAAGTCTGTCTCAACAAGTTCTGTTTCATGGTAGACACATGCTCTTCTCTGACATAAATCAAATCTCTTGCCTTGCTTAAAGAATCCAAAGCGTGATGTGTGCTGTACCTTAAGGGAGCTGTGCATGAATTAACTAAGCAAAGCTTAGCACTGAACTTTGCTGTTATGCAAAGGAAGATCTTTGGGGGGGTTTGGTGAGACTGTGAGTAAGAAGGAGGTCAGACTAACTTGGCAATTCCTTTGGTACGCATGGCTCCATTTTCAAACGGCTTGTTTATCCTGAAATTATGATTCTTGTAATTATTTAATATTGGGGCCAATTGCACCAACACACCAGGAAACTACTGAGGTGGAAAAAACCCTCAGGCATCTAAATGACTTTGGCATAAAATACAATTAAAGAGAGTTTTGAACATCTTATTTCAGCCTTACTCTAAAAAACAAAATAGTCAGCCTTTCCCCTTTTTAATGACAAATCTTACTGCTACTGGTTCCTGAAGACGTAAAATGTGTTTTCTGGGTAGGCATTGTTTTTTCTGGCTAGAAAGAGATAATGAAAGAGCTTTAGTGTTTTTTAAGCTTCATGAACTTTTTCCCCGTCTTGACACAAGAGGCTTCCAAAATACTAATCTGCAGCTGGTATTAAAGTAACAGCCTTTTGAATCTGAGAGAAAAATATCACTTCATTCAATTGCCCCCTCCCCCCCCCCTTTTTTTTTTAATAAAAAAAACAGTAGGTCACAGTCATAAAAGTAAAGCTTTTTTTTTTTTTTTTCCCCCCTCCCGTTAACTTTTTGAAAACTTGTAGCAGCAAATGCTAGATATTGTTCAAGCTTTTCTTAAAGAATGCCTGATAAGTCATCTTGGAGAATGGGCGGATCAGAAGAAATTTTTATAATAACAAAATGCGTAGTAATCAAATCCACACTGTGTCATTTATTATTGACTAACAATTTAAGAATAAATCTTCAGCACTCAAAAGTGCAATGTTTTGACTAGGATTACTATCCAAAGCGGAGCTGAGAGTATTAAGTGACATCTGAAGCATAATTAGCATCCACGAGGCTGTTTTTTCCCAGGACTGCAGAGAAGTGATGCATCCATTTGGAAGTTTTGGACTTCTTACATGTTCTTATTTATGTTCCAGTCAGTTCAGAACTTCATCTTCCTGGTAAAACCATTTGACTATATTACCATAATACGTCTAAAAATAAATCCTCATCTTGCCTGCTCCCAGAATTTTTGTTCTTGTTATAATAAAGGCCTGCTCCAGTTTAACTTCAGTGGCAGCTGGATTGGACCTGGTGTTGAAGCTTATTCCTAAACTTTCTCAGACTACATACATCCAGCACTGTCAGCTTGTTTATGCAGCTGGAAGTCTGCATGCCTGAAAATAAATTGCATAAAATTGATGCTTTATGCTTAAAATTCTAGTTAACTCAAGGAAACTTAGCACTTCATTGC